ATCCACGGCATACAGTGATCCACACTGACTCAGAGCTATCCACGGCATACAGTGATCCACACTGACTCACAGCCATCCACGGTATACAGTGATCCACACTGACTCACAGCCATCCACGGCATACAGTGATCCACACTGACTCACAGCCATCCACGGCATACAGTGATCCACACTGACTCACAGCCATCCACGGCATACAGTGATCCACACTGACTCACAGCCATCCACGGCATACAGTGATCCACACTGACTCACAGCCATCCACGGCATACAGTGATCCACACTGACTCACAGCCATCCACGGCATACAGTGATCCACACTGACTCACAGCTATCCACGGCATACAGTGATCCACACTGACTCACAGCCATCTACGGCATACAGTGATCCACACTGACTCACAACCATCCACGGCATACAGTGATCCACACTGACTCACAGCCATCCACGGCATACAGTGATCCACACTGACTCACAGCCATCCACGGCATACAGTGATCCACACTGACTCACAGCCATCCACGGCATACAGTGATCCACACTGACTCACAACCATCCACGGCATACAGTGATCCACACTGACTCATACTAGCCATCCACGGCATACAGTGATCCACACTGACTCACAGCCATCCACGGCATACAGTGATCCACACTGACTCACAGCCATCCACGGCATACAGTGATCCACACTGACTCACAGCCATCCACGGCATACAGTGATCCACACTGACTCACAGCTATCCACGGCATACAGTGATCCACACTGACTCACAGCCATCCACCGCATACAGTGATCCACACTGACTCACAGCCATCCACGGCATACAGTGATCCACACTGACTCACAGCCATCCACGGGATACAGTGATCCACACTGACTCACAGCCATCCACGGCATACAGTGATCCACACTGACTAACAGCCATCCACCGCATACAGTGATCCACACTGACTCACAGCCATCCACGGCATACAGTGATCCACACTGACTCACAGCCATCCACGGCATACAGTGATCCACACTGACTCATACTAGCCATCCACGGCATACAGTGATCCACACTGACTCACAGCCATCCACGGCATACAGTGATCCACACTGACTCACAGCCATCCACGGCATACAGTGATCCACACTGACTCACAGCCATCCACCGCATACAGTGATCCACACTGACTCACAGCCATCCACCGCATACAGTGATCCACACTGACTCACAGCCATCCACGGCATACAGTGATCCACACTGACTCACAGCCATCCACGGCATTCAGTGATCCACACTGACTCATACTAGCCATCCACGGCATACAGTGATCCACACTGACTCACAGCCATCCACGGCATACAGTGATCCACACTGACTCACAGCCATCCACGGCATACAGTGATCCACACTGACTCACAGCCATCCACGGCATACAGTGATCCACACTGACTCACAGCCATCCACCGCATACAGTGATCCACACTGGCTCACAGCCATCCACGGCATACAGTGATCCACACTGACTCACAGCCATCCACGGCATACAGTGATCCACACTGACTCACAGCCATCCACGGCATACCGTGATCCACACCAGGCGCGTACGCAGGGTCACCTCTAGGGGGGTTTCCAACCGAATCCCGAACAATGACTCGTTTTAACCCCTTCTAAAGAGCCCTAGGATATTTTCAAAATTATGCCTTTTTCGTGTTCTTGGTTCATAACTTCAGTTCTGCTCACTCAATCTTCATTATCTTGGGCTTCCTGGAAGTGGAAAGGCACCAGGGAGAGAATGAGGTCGACCATGATAGCCAGGACACAGTACGGTCATGTACATATCCAGCGTTATCCCATGGTACGGTACTATAGGCCTGTTTCAGCCATCAGGAGCCTTGCCGACCGGGACATAATAGCCAATACAATCCCGCGCGGGATGATATTCATTATTAACTGGGTTCACTTTTACCGTACCTACTACGGTGCACCCTGCATTGGCATGCCCCCACCCCCTCTCGATTCGATGCAATGCATCTTGCCACTGGAGCCTTTCGATCAGAACCCAGCGACAAAATGCACTACACAGAACCGTGAGAGGGTGGGAGCATGCCAATGCAGAGTGCACCGTCGGTACAGTAAAAGTGAACGTAGAGAACTTACCTCCGCGACTACGTCCAAATCCAGATTCCACACAAACAAACTACGAACTCCAATCACTATTCAACTCAACACTACGACACAAAGGAGACTTCGAAGTGCATCTGTTCTCATTCACTCTTTGTTAACTCGAAAACTACACAAAGTATCAACATCCGAGTGAAAATCACTAATTGCAAGGAGAGATACCGTAACAACTCGAAAAGTACAAGACGTGAAAGTGAGAGGAAAAATCTTGTACAGAATATTCAACAGTGTGAAAGAAGAAGAGCTCAGCAATCCATGTGTGATGTACATGTAGATAAGATATGGATGCAAGATGCGACCCGCAGTGATTATCATGACATTGTATCCAGTACGATTACCACAAGAACAATCTAAAACGTAGATGCTGCTACAAATCCAGTATGCCTATAATATAACAAGATAAACGTTCTTCTGATTGCATAGTGTCCGAGAGTGATACAACGAAGAGTCTTGATACAACGAAATGCACTTTACTCACTGGTGCCAATGTCCGACGATATGTACAATGTGGTTACTGCCTGCACGGACAGTGTTCAGCAAGGATCCCAAACCGTTGAAAGTTCCACGCCGATCCAATGACAAGGAAGTCAGCACCAGCCTCCATAATGACGTGGTATCTCGCCGTGACTTGAAGTATGGCCCTTACTTTGAACCAAATGACTATGTATCATATTAAACAGTGCAATCTTCGTCAATTCTCTAGTCCAACTACTAAAATGCAACTTGTCTCCCGAGCTCCATCGCTCTCTAACCTTGACTGGATTGAAAAGAAAGGCAGCATCTTGTTTTTGGTATAGCTGTACCAGGGAGTCGTAAACGACTCCCTGAGCTGTACCTTGGTAATTGTATTCAGAACGCAGTTGCGTCGATCCCCAAAATGCGTAGATGTACCTGGGATAAGTAGGATATTGACCCGCGTACTCGGGTGTTACCCTACCCTCATATCATCCCTCCTGCTACGCAGTCGGGATGATATTCGGGAGGTAACACCCTCGTACTTGGGTAATATCCTATACATACAGTGATCCACACTGACTCACAGCCATCCACGGCATACAGTGATCCACACTGACTCACAGCCATCCACGGCATACAGTGATCCACACTGACTCACAACCATCCACGGCATACAGTGATCCACAGTGACTCACAGCCATCCACGGCATACAGTGATCCACACTGACTCACAGCCATCCACGGCATACAGTGATCCACACTGACTCACAGCTATCCACGGCATACAGTGATCCACACTGACTCACAGCCATCCACCGCATACAGTGATCCACACTGACTCACAGCCATCCACGGCATACAGTGATCCACACTGACTCACAGCCATCCACGGCATACAGTGATCCACACTGACTCACAGCTATCCACGGCATACAGTGATCCACACTGACTCACAGCCATCCACCGCATACAGTGATCCACACTGACTCACAGCCATCCACGGCATACAGTGATCCACACTGACTCACAGCCATCCACGGCATACAGTGATCCACACTGACTAACAGCCATCCACCGCATACAGTGATCCACACTGACTCACAGCCATCCACGGCATACAGTGATCCACACTGACCTGTCCCCTTGGAAAAACGCGATTCCGCGGCCGCGGCAAATTTCGCAGAAGTTGCCATCATCCGCGGAAATCACGGAATCCACACTTTTGCCCGCGGAATCTGAAATTTTTAGGGTAAATTACTAAAATTACTACTCAGAAAGCAGCAGAAAAACTACTTTGCGATCTGTTTGAGCACATTTCTCTTGCCAGTGCAGGTCTCTCCAAAATTCTTCCCTCTTATTCAGTTTGTGACTGCAAAGGATAGTATGAAAAGTGCTCCTTCATGCGACTAGTTGTCATATCCTCTAACAGGAGGGTGAAAAACTTGCAGAAAGTGCCGCAGATTTTTGATTTTACCGCAGAAAATGCTGCAGAAAACCCCCCTTTTCCCCGCGGAATTTGCCGCGGAATTTTGAATTCTTCGCCGCGTTTTTCCAAAGGGACAGACTGACTCACAGCCATCCACGGCATACAGTGATCCACACTGACTCACAGCCATCCACGGCATACAGTAATCCACACTGACTCACAGCCATCCACGGCATACAGTGATCCACACTGACTCACAACCATCCACGGCATACAGTGATCCACAGTGACTCACAGCCATCCACGGCATACAGTGATCCACACTGACTCACAGCCATCCACGGCATACAGTGATCCACACTGACTCATACTAGCCATCCACGGCATACAGTGATCCACACTGACTCACAGCCATCCACGGCATACAGTGATCCACACTGACTCACAGCCATCCACCGCATACAGTGATCCACACTGACTCACAGCCATCCACCGCATACAGTGATCCACACTGACTCACAGCCATCCACCGCATACAGTGATCCACACTGACTCACAGCCATCCACGGCATTCAGTGATCCACACTGACTCATACTAGCCATCCACGGCATACAGTGATCCACACTGACTCACAGCCATCCACGGCATACAGTGATCCACACTGACTCACAGCCATCCACCGCATACAGTGATCCACACTGACTCACAGCCATCCACCGCATACAGTGATCCACACACTGACTCACAGCCAGCCACGGCATACAGTGATCCACACACTGACTCACAGCCATCCACCGCATACAGTGATCCACACACTGACTCACAGCCATCCACCGCATACAGTGATCCACACACTGACTCATAAGCACAGTGATCCACGTGTTTGCAACCATCCACAGGAAACACAGCACCACATGCATGGATTAGTACATAATAATTATTATACTATTTACTAACAGTTGACATCACTTGCTAGTTAGTACAACCAAGAGTAGATGTGTAGAGTGGTAGCAGCAGCAGCAGCAGACCCAGAAATGCAAAACACAACAATCAACCAGAAAAGAGGTGTCTACTGAGAATAGAGAAGTCTGCATAGCCTCATGCTGACCGGCTCAAACAGGTAATGGACAAGAATGGTGGCATCAGACAATAGCACTCTAAACCAGAATGTTGGTGACCCTGACCTTCCAAGGGCCGCGCACAGGAGTGAGAAAGAGAGGAGATCATCCGAACCACTCACGATTACACTGGTTTTCGATAATTATGCTACAATATGCGTGGGAGCAACAGAGCAATTTCCATGGAAATGATAATATAAAACTTTCTTATAAAATTTCTTTCCAGACGTGGTGAGAAATTGACTATTCCGCACTATAGTCTAATTATGGTTACAGCATGAGCGGTATTATAAAGACGTAGTGAAGCCCTTTACTTGTGGCTAGTGGATGGCAGGCGAAGGCAGCGCATTTTAAATTAAACAAATTACATTATACTAATGGCAAGCAGCGTGGAAAGGAGCTGCTCTGGTGTCTTCCCAATCTCCGGCCTTGGCTGGCAAACAGACGAGCCTCCGCATAATAGGTGGGTGTTGAATTTATTTAATTAAAAGGTCACAGTGCTGGCATTATGGTAAGCATCAATTCCTGCTTTCAGCGTTATCCTATATTTATCTGTACTGCACGGATTGGTCTGAGGGCAGTGGCTGGCTTGATTCCCATACTCCTGCCACCGCACACTCTGACCAGTGTCCAGGTGTCAGTGTTGTGTGGCACAGTGCTTACACATCCGCCTTCTTGCCCTTCTTCTTACGCAGACTCATCTTGCTGACAATGCGATGCTCGGCCTGCTTGATCAGTGACGTGTTCTCAGTCTTCTCAAGGTTCGTGGTCAGGGCGTACGGGTCTTCGCGCTCGATGGCTTCAGCCGCCGTTATTCCCGGCTCCGTCTTCTGCGCGGCGTTGATGAAGACGGATCTTGCGGCTGCCGTGGGAATAATACAATGCAGGTCGTCATCATCCTCCAAGTCTTCGTCCATCATGTCGATGGACTCACGTTGCTCCTTCTGTCCTTTCTTGCCCGTCTTGTCCTTGGGCTGGGCTGCAACCACGTCGTCGTAGCCCGCAGTCCAGAAACGATCACTCCTGGCCTTCTTCTCAGCGGAAGGAGCGGCGATATTCGCAGCACTCTCGTATCCCGCCAACCGTGCATTCCCAGGAAGAGAGGCACCAGCAGCAATTGGGAAGGTTAGAGTGTCATCGTACGCGTCGGCCGTGTCACCACTGCTGGCTGGAATGAAGGACAGTACGCCATTGTTCGGCATACCATACTCAAAGCCGTTGTCTTCGCTGCTGGCACGCTTCCCCAGTAGTCCACGGCCGAAGACATCGGTGGCTGACTCCGATTTTCGAATCTCAGCCTTCTGCGCATTGGGCATGAAGCGTTTCAACGTATCGGCCGGGAACATCTCATAATCACCCTCCTCTTCGTTCTCAGTATCTGCATTGGATCCCGGCTGGCGGAGACGATCCTCACTGAATACATCGTACCGCTCTACCAGAATGTCGTCAACAATGCTGTCTACTGAACCAGCCGTAGCAATGCTGGGCTTGCTAGATATGTCATTGAATGACTTTACTCGTCGCACCTGCTTACGCTCCGACTTCCTCAGATGAGCGATTCTCTTGTTGGTGAAGTGGCTTCCAGCGTCTGCCTCCTCCGCCATGTGGCCATGCAGGTCAACGTCATTAACGGTGTCATTGAACGTAAACATAGCGTGGTCGGACCGGCCTAGGCCACCGTCGGGACCCATGGCATTGTACTCGCTACTGTCACTGTCACTACCCGCCATGGCACTGTGTGAGACTGGCGCCACCTTATGACTGCCACCCCCGCCTCCGTTCTTGCGCGAAGAGATCACACGCTTGAACTGCTGGAGCTTGGACCGGTCCTCCACCGTAGGTGCGTCCGTGTTTGGGAACAGAATGTAGTCATCACCTCCCTCGTCATAGTCAGCTTGCCATTCACGAAGGTCCTTCTGTGCGGGCTGCTTGGGGCCCTTACCTTTTCGCTTGCCAAGGATTGAACGCTTTGACTTGGAATCTCGCAAGATATCTTTACCAGCTGCGGACCCTCCTTGCCAACGTTCCTCCGTCAGGTCAGCCAGGACTTCATCAAGTACCTGGAGTGTCTCGCCGTTTGCCTCTGGTAGACCTCCATCGTCCCTGGTGATGTGACCGTTTTCTCCTAGCTCGTGCCAGAGGCCAGCCTCTTCGGAAGTAACGCTGGGACGGCCATTATTTTGCCGATCTTTCTGGTAATGTGCCGCTTGAGTTCTGTCAAAGCTTTGCTGCTGCGGCTGTTGTTGATCGACTGCCGTGTTGTCAGCATCCAGATCAGTAGGCTTTGAAGTTGGAGGATTCCACACGAGTGGCTCGTTGCTGGTATTGTTTTTATCCTCATTGCCAGTAGTGGTCTGCTTTGTTGGCGTGTTGCTGTTTCTGTTGTTGTTGCTGCTGCTGTTGTTGTTGGTGTTGGCATCGGTATTGTTAGCTACTGCTGTTGGCTTGGGATCCATTCCCCAGATCAGTGGTGCTTCCAGGATTGAGCTAGGTTGTACGCTCGAGCTGGTGTTGCCATCGCTTGTCCTGCTTTGTTTGTCGTGCTGCCCGTCAGTGCCTGTTTGAGCAGTGGATGAGGCAGCAGCGGCAGTGATCGAGTGAGTGGGCGTGCGTATGTGCACATAGCGATTCGAATCAGTGGAGCTCATTTCGTGTGTGGCGGGAGCAGAGTCAGCATCGTTCTCCAGGGCGGACAGCGGTCGTCCTGGCAATACGGATCTTTTCGGATTCCGTGCCCCAGTGTTCTGCTGTTGCTGCTCAGCTGTTGCTGCTGCTGCTGCTGCTGCTGTGGCGGCGGTGGCGGTGGAGGGCATGACGGGTTGCAGAGCACCATTTGGCCCTGGAGCAAACTGAACGTACTCGTCAGGAGACTGGATAAGAGTGCTGTCACCTGGCAGATCTTGGTTATGCTTTTTACGTAGTCTACTGGCTAGTGGGTTGGCATTCGAGTAGGGAGAGTCTGGATCGGGTGCAGACACTGTATGATCGTACGGGTCACTGTAGGATTTCTCGTTGTCGCTCATACCGACAAAGTCTGCACCGTGGCTCATGAAATCCTCTACTTGGGTACCAGGAGGTGGCTGAGGAGCGCCTGGTAACAAGGTGAGGCGGCTGTGAGCAGACGGGTTGGAGTGACACTGGTTCCTTGGATTGGACGGCCAATCTGAGCCTTGTGAGGACTTTGGCGCTTGGAAGTCTAAATAGTTGTTCTTCACGCTCGTGTACACATACTCTTCGCCGTCACTGCCGAATGCAGGCACGGAATCGGCGTCTAGTCCACGATCGTCTCCCGCATTGGTGAAGTGTGGGTTGGGAATACGCTTCTTGTGCACACAGGCATAGGCACCCTCATTGATCTCCTTCCGCGTGTCCGGATTGGCAAAGCAGTCCTGGCAGAGCCAGGTTTGTGACAGTTCATCGTAGAGTGCGTCGAGACGATCACAACCAAACGCCGTGCTGTATGTGTTGCTGTCAGTGAGAGATGGCTGAGGACTCATGGAGCCACCAGTGTGTGGACGCTGGAAGAGATCGTAGTCCGCAATGTCCGTGCTGGACTCTCTGGAGTCGGCACCGTGGAGCATATCAAGGACATCGCCATAGTCCGAGTACTCTTCCGCTTCAAAACCTGACACCGGGTCACATTCCTCCATAGTAGAGAATGTGTCCGAACGCATTCCATCCATGCCCAGACTAAACTGCCCCTCCCCCTCATTGCCCAGGGCAGTAGCTACATCTCGGTCATCATCAACGGCATCCTCAGTGGTGCTTGTGTTGTTGTTGCTGCCGGATCGCATCATGTTGAGGAAGGCAGCTGCCTTGCGCAGTGTATTCTGGTCCTTCTTGCGAGGCTTACTCTTGTTTCCTTGGCTGCTGGCGCCGGTGGGCCTGGAGGCCAGTCCATTTCCATCGCGTGCATCAGCAGTTGGGTCGGCCTCCACATCGCCCAGATCCAACTCGGATGAGCAGCTTGGAGTCCGCTGAGTGAGGCGAGGACTGGCATTCTCGTCCCAGTTGGCTGCGTATCTTGCCAATTTGTGACCGGTACGGTTTTCAGGAGACTGACTGCTCACTGACGAGCTCTCTCTGTCATCGATTGCAGTTCTACGCTCATCAGTAGCGTCCAGGTCAGTGTCTACCATTGAGTTGGGGTCGGGGCTACCAAACAGGTCGTTCATTTCGTGTCGCATGCCGTCATCAAAGTACTCATTCTCCCAGTCCGTCTTGTCGCTGTGAAGAGTGAGTGTACAGGCAAAGAGCAGACAAAACATCAGATCAACCAATTACACACATGTAGACAGCGGCCTAGGCGTGCTCTGTACAATTCTTTGTATAATAATGATAAGAAGAAGAAGAATCTTATAGAAAAGAAACAGGACCAAGGAACTAGAAGAATATGTACGTGGTTGCCGACGACGACGACGTGCTTTAAAACAAAATGCATCGAAATGAACATTACATCCAGGGTGTCTTACGCTGAACAATTTCCCCGTACTTACACACACACACACACACACACACACACACACACACACACACACACACATACACACACACACACACACACACATGCACTCGCATGCCTCAGACCTCAGACCTGCCCATCGCAGAAGCGATGATTGCGATAGACATAGCAACTTGTGCTGGGATTACACCATTCAACAGCTTGCAAGGCTGATGAATTGACCACCACCAATTTTAGCATGCAGATACACACAATACACACACATACACACATACACATATACACACACACACACACACACACACACACACACACATAGACACAGACATACACAAACACACATACACACATACACACACATACACACACATACACACACACACACACATATACACATACACACAATACACACACACACACACACACACACACATACACACACACACACACACTTGTACTTGTACTTGTACTTGCTCACTGCCAAAACTGGTCACGTGGGTCTCCCCGGGAGTAGGCATAGCCCGATTTTGCTAGCAATTCTGCTAGCAAAATATCGAAGAATTTTGAAAGGGAATTTGCTGGCAAAATGGAGCAAAATATCGGTCTGTTCGCTGGAAATTGGGAGATTTTACACTTATACGGTGCACGTGACTCATTTTCCCACAGTTTTACCAACACGTGACTCACTTTTTCTCACTTTTGCCAACACGTGACCCACTTTCGGTCAGTTTTCCCACATGTGACACAAACTTTGGAGCAAAAAGGGAGCAAAATATCGAGTGGCCTGGCAAAATGAAAGCAAAATATCGACGATGAGCCAGCAAAATTATGCGGCAAAATATCGAAGCTTCCCTGGCAAAATCGGGCTTTGCCTACCCGGGAGAGGGGAGAGAGACTCAAAAGGAATCTTGGAAAGATGACTCAATTGGCCATTGAACCACCCAACGGCCGACACCCCCTGAAATCCCCAAACTAGGGTGGACTTGAAATGATCCCACTTTTGGGCTCACCACACCTCAGTAAGTGGGTGAGGACAAGGTGCAGAAAAAGGATTGACGGCATCAGGGTATCCGTCCCGGGATCCAACTGCAGGTACCCCTGCCCCCAGTGAAGGTAATACTTGGTACTAGTGTGGGTGGCTAAATCAGAGTGGATCTGATATAAGCACATACACACACACACAAACACACTAGGGGTCAAATGGGTGTACCGGGTACCCGGGTACCCGCCCGTTAATCTCAGGTACCGTTAGTAAAAGGGTGTAAAAAAAAAAAAAAAGGTGACCCTATCGTATTCCAAGACTCAAAATAGGAGTGCGGATACTCTTTTCCTTTTTCCTGTGCATTCCCGCTTTCGACTTTATCAGGCAGGAGCAGGCTGAAAGACAGACTTGACAGTTGTTCTCTCCACTCTAGTGCAAGTAAAAATCCTCGTACTGGAGGTTTTTGATTGTGATGTGAGAAAATGCAAGACTTGAAACTCGTTCGAGGTGGCAGCTGAGTAACTAGAAAGTTACGCTGGTTCTCCGACATCGAACCTGCCACAGTACTTGATGAACTAGTGTCACTAGGCTGAGTGACCAGTCGGAGTGTCACAAACGGTGATGTCCGTAGGTGGTAGCTACATGTATGATACTCTGACATGGTTGTAGTTTGTTCCTTCAATCGACGAGCTGAAAAGTAGTTCAAAATATTGCATACAAGATTACTGATTTGTGAAGATTCATTTCACGAGTTCAACAAGCTAGCACTAGCAGCTAGCTGGCCAGCAGCACATCAGCTGTGTCAGGCACCCCAGCTAGCTATGGGCACGAACATCTTCTGAATGCAACGAGTACCAGTTCTCTGCGAACATAGCAAATAGGATTGCGCGAGATCACGGAAGTTTTGCTAAACCACTCTGTCCTTGCATGGCTTGAATCACATCGATCTGCAGTTGATTTGCGTACATGTATCAAAATTCATGTAGCTTGTAGGACCATCTACATGTACGATTGTCAGTAACTGCCTGTGAAGTTATGTACATGGGCAAATGCACGGATGACATTCATTTGGAACCTTCATTGCCATAATAATAATGATACACGAATCAATTGCGAATCATAATGTAGTATCAAAATACAACCTGAGAATATACAAATTAAAATCATGATTTATGTGAGAAATGCGCAAAAAAATAATATGGCTGCTAAAGGGTACCCGTTAACCCGCTCGTTAAGAAAATTACCCGTTCGTTAGTTAAAGGTACACCCGTTTGACCCCTAAAACACACACACACACAAATACACACACACACACAAACACACACACACACACACATGTGCTCATGCACAGAACCACCACCCACACCCACTAGCCCGCCCTCCCACAACATACGAAGCAAGCGCCAATGCGCTCCCCCTAAGCCGCACACAATCACAAACAGCCAAAGAGAGTGAGATACGGCACTTACTTTCCAGTTCTGCGCGTCATAAGGTTGATGGCACGTTTTTCTTCGGCCCTCTTATTCATGCGCTGCTTGACGACCAGGGCAGCCACGGCTAGCAGCAGGACCGCCACGGCGCCAATGCTAGTGAGCACGACCCAGGAGCTGTTGTCAGTAGTAGAAGCAGGATTACCCTCCTCCTCGCCACCGGCAGTGCTAGATGTTGCAGGTGATGTATGCGGTGTGACTGCAATGACACAGGAGAAGACAGACAACACACATTATATTGGATACTGTTTCGGACGATGTCTGCGATGCCTGCGGTGTGACTGCAATCATACAGGAGAAGGCAGACAACATAACTTTGGTTCTACTTCAAAGATTTTGAAGGTCTTGGGCTCATTGGAAAGCTCTTGATGAGAGAAATACAATGAGCCCAAATTCGCCAAGAGCAATACTATTTGTTCCAGGCAATGTGTGCTGTGCGACTGCAACGATACATGCAAGGCAGACAACACATAAGCAGGATTACTTTTACGTGATCAATTTGATATGAATAGACTCACCTGTCACTGAGTTTGTAGTGGTTATCACATAGGGAGGTGACCAGGGGCTTGTCACATTGCCAGCGGACGAGGAGTTGACGTACTGGAAGTCTATGCTTACCCGTCCCGGCACAAATTCTGCCGGAATCGGAACAGAGCGGTTGGAGATCGGCACGACCACTGTCACACTCCTGTTGGTGTCTGGGTCGGTAAATCTAATGCGAATGCTGTCATAGGGACGCGTGTTACCTGCACCACTGTAACCATGGCCAACGCTGGTGTTACTATCCTTAGTTCCTGCAGGCACAGTACAGGTGGGGTTAGGCAAGGAGAACTGGCCAGTAGATGCGTCATTTCCGATCACCAACCACTCAGGAAGGCTATCGTCGGCACATGTGCCAGGAATCGCAGGGATCTCAACGTCCGTGTAGTTGAAGTCCAGGCCAAAGGTAGCACGGATAACCGTGGCATTCTCCGATGACACGCCCTCTACACTTGCGACATAATAGCCAAATTGGGTGTTTGTGAACTGGACTGGGAAGTCATCGTGTCGCAAACCCTGGCCACTATGGCCTGTCTTGTCCAAATGCGTGCCGTTCCACCTCGTCAAGGAGTACTTGAACGTCTGCACAGATTTCCAGACCGACCGGTCTAGCTGTTCCATGTCAGGGAGAGGGAGGTTCAGTATCCCATGTGTTGCTGTAACATTCACACATACACATGTACATACACATACATACACATATACATACACATACACATACACATAATCATACACATAATTATACATACACATATACATACACATATACATACACATACACATGTATACACACACACACACACACACACACACACACACACACACACACACACAACACCCGCAAGCACACGTAAGTACACAGAGTTTCGCATTCGCACAGTTTGCAGAAATGAATGCACATAAGGAAACACAGATGACACAAATCAATGAACCAGACAGATGACACAAAGCAATACACCAGACAGCAACGTATTCATATGCCTAATCTGGGTGTCCAGAAGGACAGCATTATTCGTTTGAAATTGTTTTAGTAGCAGCTTCTTCTGTCTATTCGGCTCTGGTTGGCCATGGTGTCATATCTTGTGTCACAGTATACTAGTAGTCCTTACAAGTTCGTTAAGTGCTTTCGCAGTTTTTCCTGTTATTACCTTAGTGCTAGGATTATCATTTTCATAGGTGTTGTTTCTTCTCACTCCATTCCTCTTTATTAGTATCTTTCTGGATTGTTTTTCAATAGTACAACGTAGCTTCCTGAGGAGTGTTGTCCGAAAACTAGTTCGAAGTACAATTTTTTGTTCAACATTTCTTACATATTTTATGTGTATATTTATTCTTACAAGCAGTATTATCGCATAGTAGAATATATTGGCCCTAAGAATGGATTTTGTGTAGCAAAATATGCCAGATTAGTGCAAAGTGTATCGCCTGTAGTAATAACATCTGTGCTTTGTGATCTGTGCATACTCAATACAATAATATTCAACACAAAAAGAGAGTTATGTCCAAGGGAGCATTGGAGAATCACTTTTTCTGTCCAGTCGGACTCTTTCTTCTGACTTCTCTCGTATCCGCTGCCCCGCAGTCGCCTAGCACGACCGCGAGTCTGATTGATCCGTGTGTCTAATTGATCCGTGTGTACGTGTATCATGTGTACGTGTCTACATGCCAAACGTGCGCGCATACATGTACATGTACATGTATGATGTCACACGTGCATATGATATGTCACACGTGATTTATCGTGTGTAAGAAATATAGGCAATATGAATCAAATGTCGTTTTTCAAACACCCACGCTATAACCGATACCTACTGTACAACCAAAATACCATCATTCAATACACTTCACGTTTAACAAACATCTTGTACCCAGAGAAGGGTTTTTTGGATGGGGTCGGAGAGGAAGGAGGGCAGGTAGGATGGGGAGGGGGATGGAGGAAAGGCACTATCTCTCGCTTACCTGGTTGGAAAGTGAAGACGGGAGATGTAGTAGATGTGACATTTTCCTTTCTCTTGTCACCAGCCACAGCAGCTGTTGAGTAAGTATATGTGAAGTTATACTGAATTGGACTACCACCTAACTCTTCAACAGGTACTTGCACTCTTGAATCATTTGTACTCTTCACTACCACAACTGTACGATTCATTACTGGATTCTTGAAGACAAACACAACTTCATCATACGAATCCATTAATGGTGCTGGTGGTGATGGTGGTTTTAAGATGTCGATATTGTTATCACCCGTTGATTCATAGCTACGCCACACACCAGTAACTCCAGGGATACTTGGTGTGGTGCCAGTGTAGTTAAAGTCTAAGTTCACAGCACTGCTTGCTACAACCATTGATGATGAGTATGAAGGTGATAACTTATCATTGCCGCTAGTACCACGGTCACTGGTGCTCTTGTTTCTCAGACCATCAATGACAGCAACATAGTAACCAAATGTCACATTCTCTAACAAAACTGGAAACTGCATAGCCAGTAAACCAGTGCCTTGCAGACCTGTTGGCAGCAATGATTGATTCTTTTCATTCCACATCAGAATGGAATAACGATATGATTGGATGTCATTACGTACATTAGCTGACACATCTTGAAGACCAGGCAGGGGGACGGCAAGATTCCCGAGAGTAGCTGTGCAAAACAAACAAGGAGAAATCGAAAATTGTCTGTTGTGAAATAGGTGTTAGTGTTCGATGGTGGTTGGGTGGCTGAAAAAGATGTAAAATGACTCATTCAGAGCTGTACATGCATACTTTGGAAATTGCCAGAACTACAAGTATAACTTTTCACTCTAGACTACAACAAAATACTTTTTGATGTCCGATGTTTGGCTTTCACCATATCCAGGACTAAAAAAATGGTATGATAACATGGTACTGTACTGGCATCCAATGGATAAACCGTTATGATAAGAGCCGCCAGATGCGAAAACCGACGATTATGGTATATAGCTGACTACCATTGATGACCAGAACACATGCTATTTTAGTAATTTCAGTACTACTAGCTCCAGAGCGAAAAATATAATCCAAAAATCCATGGAAACTATTGGAGAGTTCAGAAAGAATGAGAAAGTTTGTTGCTCGCAACACTCCGGCTTGCACATCACCAACAGTTCATTTCCAGCAAGCGGTGGGAAAGGTTATATCTGAAATCATCCCATCCTGTCTGGCATGCACCAATTTGAATGGTAATGGCTCTCCTGGAAATTACCACAAACCCAGTAACCCAAATTAAACCTAAGCTGCACATGTCATGCCTTACCTGGTTGGAAAGTGAAGATGGGAGATGTAGTAGATGTGACATTTTCCTTTCTCTTGTCACCAGCCACAGCAGCTGTTGAGTAAGTATATGTGAAGTTATACTGAATTGGACTACCACCTAACTCTTCAACAGGTACTTGCACTCTTGAATCATTTGTACTCTTCACTACCACAACTGTACGATTCATTACTGGATTCTTGAAGACAAACACAACTTCATCATACGAATCCATTAATGGTGCTGGTGGTGATGGTGGTTTTAAGATGTCGATAGTGTTATCACCCGTTGATTCATAGCTACGCCACACACCAGTAACTCCAGGGATACTTGGTGTGGTGCCAGTGTAGTTAAAGTCTAAGTTCACAGCACTGCTTGCTACAACCATTGATGATGAATATGAAGGTGATAACTTATCATTGCCGCTAGTACCACGGTCACTGGTGCTGTTGCTTCTCAGACCATCAATGACAGCAACATAGTAACCAAATGTCACATTCTCTAACAAAACTGGAAACTGCATAGCCAGTAAACCAGTGCCTTGTAGACCTGTTGGCAGCAATGACTGATTCTTTTCATTCCACATCAGAATGGAATAACGATATGATTGGATGTCATTGCGTACATTAGCTGACACATCTTGAAGACCAGGCAGGGGAACGGCAAGATTCCCGAGAGTAGCTGTGCAAAACAAACAAGGAGAAATCGAAAATCGTCCATTGTGAAATAGTTGTTAGTGTGCGTAGTGTGCGATGGTGGTTGGGTGGCTGAAATAGATGTAAAATGACTCATTCAGAGCTGTACATGCATACTTTGGAAATTGCCAAAACTACAAGGCTAACTTTTCACTCTAGACTACAGCAAAATACTTTTTGATGTCCGATGTTTGGCTTGCACCATTTCCAGGACTCAAAAAAATGGTATGATAACATGGTACTGTTCTGGCATCCAATGGATAAAATGTTATGATAAGAGCCGCCAGATGCGAAAACCGACGATTATAGCTGACTACCATTGATGACCAAAACACATGCTATTTTAGTAATTTCAGTACTACTAGCTCCTGAGCGAAAAATACAATCCAAAAATCCATGGAAACTATTGGAGAGTTCAGAAAGAATGAGAAAGTTTGTTGCTTGCAACACTCCGGCTTGCACATCACCAACAGTTCATTTCCAGCAAGCGGTGGGAAAGGTTATACCGTAAAAGTCCGTAAATAAGAACGTATTTACTTTCGAATTTAGTGACCACACCCGTACTAACTTTCGGGCGGGTACTGACTTTCGGGCACGAACTAACTTTTGGACCTGACTTGTGTGTAGTGGAGAAGTCATTTGCACGTCGATGTACATGCTACGTGCGGCATGTGCGCATCGTACCGGTACTTATTTCGGGCAGTATGTTTATCGGGCTTGACTTGACTTCAACAGACAGAGTCGAAAGAATGAAGGGGGTATTTCTTTCGGGCAGGTACTTATTTACGGACTTTTACGGTATCTGAAATCATCCCATCCTGTCTGGCATGCAACAATTTGAATGGTAATGGCTCTCCTGGAAATTATCACAAACCCAGTAACCCAAATTAAACCTAAGCTGCACATGTCATGCCTTACCTGGTTGGAAAGTGAAGATGGGAGATGTAGTAGATGTGACATTTTCCTTTCTCTTGTCACCAGCCACAGCAGCTGTTGAGTAAGTATATGTGAAGTTATACTGAATTGGACTACCACCTAACTCTTCAACAGGTACTTGCACTCTTGAATCATTTGTACTCTTCACTACCACAACTGTACGATTCATTACTGGATTCTTGAAGACAAACACAACTTCATCATACAAATCCATTAATGGTGCTGGTGGTGATGGTGGTTTTAAGATGTCGATAGTGTTATCACCCGTTGATTCATAGCTACGCCACACACCAGTAACTCCAGGGATACTTGGTGTGGTGCCAGTGTAGTTAAAGTCTAAGTTCACAGCACTGCTTGCTACAACCATTGATGATGAGTATGAAGGTGATAACTTATCATTGCCGCTAGTGCCACGGTCACTGGTGCTCTTGTTTCTCAGACCATCAATGACAGCAACATAGTAACCAAATGTCACATTCTCTAACAAAACTGGAAACTGCATAGCCAGTAAATCAGTGCCTTGTAGACCTGTTGGCAGCAATGACTGATTCTTTTCATTCCACATCAGAATGGAATAACGATATGATTGGATGTCATTACGTACATTAGCTGACACATCTTGAAGATCAGGCAGAGGAATGGCAAGTTTCCCGAGAGTTGCTGTGCAAAATAAACAAGGAGAAATCGAAAATCGACTGTTGTGGAATAAGGCTTTAGACTTTTAGTATGTGTAGTGTGCGGTGGATGTGGAGACAGAGGGGGGGGGGGGGCTGAAAGAGATGTAACAACACTTATTTAGAGCTACGTTTGACACTGCACGTATAAACACGGTATACTCATGTCGATTAAGCTCATCTTAGTGATTGCTGTTTTATTCAGAGATAGATAGTGGCTATTTAGGAAATTGCGAAATTGAAAAGGCTAACTTTCAAACCGTAGACTATAACAAAATATTCCTTGATGTCCGATGTTTGGCTTTCACCATCCTCAGGACGATATGGAAACAAGGTATTGCCACCGGGTGGTATTACCCATATTTAATACGGCATAATAAAAGTGACTAGCATTGACGACCAAAAACACATGCTATTTCCATAACTTCACTGCTACTAGCTCTAGAACCAACCATTATTCCAAAAATTCATGGAAGCTTATGTAAAGTTCAGGAAGAGTAAGAGAGATTGTTGCTAGCAACACTCAGGCTTGCACACGAAAAGTTCATTTTCGACAAGCAATGGAAAATGCTCTATCTGAAATTATTCCATCTAGTCTGGCATGCACCAATTTGAATGACAATGGCTCTCCTGGAAAATACCATAACCCCAGTAACCCAAATTAACCCATTCAGCGCTACTGGGCCTTGCCTATGGTACTCTGCATATAAATGCTAAAAACAGGGCCAATAGCAAGTTCTAAAACTCCAGGGTTCTGGCAACTGGGGTCCTGAAATATTTTGGAAATGATTGCCAAGAGTATCAACCACAGGGTGACAGAATCGATACATTCCCCAAAAAGAATAGCGCATCACAACAGGAGACGCCAGTTTGCTCAAATTGCGTGAAATACGCCAAAAGCGTGAAATTGCAGCTGAAACATCGCTGAAAAGAGAAAAAAAGAGGCGTAGTGTTTCCAAGCGGGATTCGTACCAACAACCTATCGCACAAGAGGCCGAATCTTGATCCTACTGACAAACAGTGCTTTTACACACCAGACAGTGCCAGAAATTACTATAATATCCCATGACGTCTATAGACGTCATCCGCGCATGGGGGGCATTTTCAATGACGTCCATAGACGTCATCAGCATTGAATGGGTTACACCTAAGCTGCACATGTCATGCCTTACCTGGTTGGAAAGTGAAGATGGGAGATGTAGTAGATGTGACATTTTCCTTTCTCTTGTCACCAGCCACAGCAGCTGTTGAGTAAGTATATGTGAAGTTATACTGAATTGGACTACCACCTAACTCTTCAACAGGTACTTGCACTCTTGAATCATTTGTACTCTTCACTACCACAACTGTACGATTCATTACTGGATTCTTGAAGACAAACACAACTTCATCATACGAATCCATTAATGGTGCTGGTGGTGATGGTGGTTTTAAGATGTCGATAGTGTTATCACCCGTTGATTCATAGCTACGCCACACACCAGTAACTCCAGGGATACTTGGTGTGGTGCCAGTGTAGTTAAAGTCTAAGTTCACAGCACTGCTTGCTACAACCATTGATGATGAGTATGAAGGTGATAACTTATCATTGCCACTAGTACCACGGTCACTGGTGCTCTTGTTTCTCAGACCATCAATGACAGCAACATAGTAACCAAATGTCACATTCTCTAACAAAACTGGAAACTGCATAGCCAGTAAACCAGTGCCTTGTAGACCTGTTGGCAGCAATGACTGATTCTTTTCATTCCACATCAGAATGGAATAACGATATGATTGGATGTCATTGCGTACATTAGCTGACACATCTTGAAGACCAGGCAGGGGAACGGCAAGATTCCCGAGGGTAGCTGTGCAAAACAAACAAGGAGAAATCGAAAATCGTCCATTGTGAAATAGTTGTTAGTGTGCGTAGTGTGCGATGGTGGTTGGGTGGCTGAAATAAATGTAAAATGACTCATTCAGAGCTGTACATGCATACTTTGGAAATTGCAAAAACTACAAGGCTAACTTTTCACTCTAGACTACAACAAAATACTTTTTGATGTCCGATGTTTGGCTTGCACCATTTCCAGGACTCAAAAAAATGGTATGATAACATGGTACTGTACTGGCATCCAATGGATAAACCGTTATGATAAGAGCCGCCAGATGCGAAAACCGACGATTATAGCTGACTACCATTGATGACCAAAACACATGCTATTTTAGTAATTTCAGTACTACTAGCTCCTGAGCGAAAAGTACAATCCAAAAATCCATGGAAACTATTGGAGAGTTCAGAAAGAATGAGAAAGTTTGTTGCTCGCAACACTCCGGCTTGCACATCACCAACAGTTCATTTCCAGCAAGCGGTGGGAAAGGTTATACCGTAAAAGTCCGTAAATAAGTACGTATTTATTTTCGAATTTAGTGACCACACCCGTACTAACTTTCGGGCGGGTACTGACTTTGGATGCAGCTAATGGGATTTCGGTCTTTGACCACTTGGTGGTGGGTCTGATCTACTCACCTCCCACCGTTTAGGCGCTGCATCTGCGCCTTTGATCCTAGAGGGTGGTGGCGTTCCCACGGCGGATGCGGAAAACTCGGCTTCCAGCCGAGTCTCACGCGAACCGTGAAATTTATTTATTTATTACTGACTTTCGGGCACGAACTAACTTTTGGACCTGACTTGTGTGTAGTGGAGAAGTCATTTGCACGTCGATGTACATGCTACGTGCTGCATGTGCGCATCGTACCGGTACTTATTTCGGGCAGTATGTTTATCGGGCTTGACTTGACTTCAACAGACAGAGTCGAAAGAATGAAGGGGGTATTTCTTTCGGGCAGGTACTTATTTACGGACTTTTACGGTATCTGAAATCATCCCATCCTGTCTGGCATGCAACAATTTGAATGGTAATGGCTCTCCTGGAAATTATCACAAACCCAGTAACCCAAATTAAACCTAAGCTGCACATGTCATGCCTTACCTGGTTGGAAAGTGAAGATGGGAGATGTAGTAGATGTGACATTTTCCTTTCTCTTGTCACCAGCCACAGCAGCTGTTGAGTAAGTATATGTGAAGTTATACTGAATTGGACTACCACCTAACTCTTCAACAGGTACTTGCACTCTTGAATCATTTGTACTCTTCACTACCACAACTGTACGATTCATTACTGGATTCTTGAAGACAAACACAACTTCATCATACGAATCCATTAATGGTGCTGGTGGTGATGGTGGTTTTAAGATGTCGATATTGTTATCACCCGTTGATTCATAGCTACGCCACACACCAGTAACTCCAGGGATACTTGGTGTGGTGCCAGTGTAGTTAAAGTCTAAGTTCACAGCACTGCTTGCTACAACCATTGATGATGAGTATGAAGGTGATAACTTATCTTTGCCACTAGTACCACGGTCACTGGTGCTCTTGTTTCTCAGACCATCAATGACAGCAACATAAAAACCAAATGTCACATTCTCTAACAAAACTGGAAACTGCATAGCCAGTAAACCAGTGCCTTGTAGACCTGTTGGCAGCAAAGACTGATTCTTTTCATTCCACATCAGAATGGAATAACGATATGATTGGATGTCACTGCGTACATTAGCTGACACATCTTGAAGATCAGGCAGAGGAATGGCAAGTTTCCCATGAGTAGCTGTGCAAAACCCACAACACGATACCAGAAATATAGGTTGATGAAACAGGTGTGCGAGTGTGCATTGTGTGCGGTGGTTTGGAGAGGGTGGAGGCCGAAATAGAAACAAAAACAAACTCATTTTGAAGAACTAGATAATGGATGGACTTTTCACTCTAGACTACAGCAATATAGGTGACTACGATTCACAATGAAACACACACACTGCTTGTACATCATTTTCTTTCTTAATAGCTACAGCTTTAGAGCTTAACACACAGGACAGAGCATTTCTTTCAAGCTCAGAAAGAATAAGAAGGTTTGTTGCAAGCAACACTCCAGCTTTCACGACATCAAGGCCCTATCTCACAAAGCAAGCGACGGAGACTGTTCCATCTGAACTAATTCCATATTGTCTGACATTCACAAACTTGAATGGTAATGGTTCACGTGAAATGGGCTTCATGCCTTACCTGGTTGGAAAGGGAATATGGGAGATGTTGTAGATGTGACATTTTCCTTTCTCTTGTCACCAGCCACAGCAGCTGTTGAGTAAGTATATGTGAAGTTATACAGAATTGGACTACCACCTAACTCTTCAACAGGTACTTGCACTCTTGAATCATTTGTACTCTTCACTACCACAACTGTACGATTCATTACTGGATTCTTGAAGACAAACACAACTTCATCATACAAATCCATTAATGGTGCTGGTGGTGATGGTGGTTTTAAGATGTCGATAGTGTTATCACCCGTTGATTCATAGCTACGCCACACACCAGTAACTCCAGGGATACTTGGTGTGGTGCCAGTGTAGTTAAAGTCTAAGTTCACAGCACTGCTTGCTACAACCATTGATGATGAGTATGAAGGTGATAACTTATCATTGCCGCTAGTGCCACGGTCACTGGTGCTCTTGTTTCTCAGACCATCAATGACAGCAACATAGTAACCAAATGTCACATTCTCCAACAAAACTGGAAACTGCATAGCCAGTAAACCAGTGCCTTGTAGACCTGTTGGCAGCAAAGACTGATTCTTTTCATTCCACATCAGAATGGAATAACGATACGATTGGATGTCATTGCGTACATCAGCTGGCACATCTTGAAGCCCAGGCAGGGGAATGGCAAGTTTCCCATGAGTAGCTGTGCAAACCCCACACAAGAAGAAACCAGAAATATTGGCTAGGGAAACAGGTAGATGTGGGTGTGTGATTGCCTGGCAGGAATAGGTGTAAACACCTTATTCAACGCTAGATAATGGATTTTTGGTTATGGTAGAATGCAGCTTATCCGAGCGTCAAATATCCAAGTGATACAATATTCCAAATGCCATTTTCCATTGAATTGAAGAGACGAAAATGAGTGTAAGCTTATTTGCCCTACCGGTAGCACTACTGAAGCGATGGACAACATGCTTTCCAAAAAGTTGGATTGACAATGCATCAGCGTAGAGTCATTTTGAGGTGCAAAAGGGCATCTAGTTCCTGTGGAACTGCCGAAGAGAATGAGCCTGAGAAATTCCCATGATTTCATTATGTAAACATGAGTGAAAGTACAGGTCTATGATGGATGCGTGACTACTCACTTATCCGAACTTTCTCCTCATCCAAACCCCCTGGAGGCAGCCCACACAGCAATAGGTGTACATAATCGCCACTCCACTATAACTGCGAGAATGGATAAGGCCCGCCATGCACGATTGACTACATAGTTATATATCCTTTGAGGTCCGATATTGGCTGTTGGCCTTCATCCACAACCAAGGAAATGTAATGAAACTAGGCATACACAATCGGTGCACCGAACAATGTTACGACATACTTCGAAGCATACATCACTACAATACACTCAATCTACAGTTCACAAAAAAACATATACCCATTCCACATGTTTTATTGCCATTAACTACAGATTCATAAAGAAATATCCAGGGAAAGAGGATCTCTTCAAGTTCAGACTGAATAGAACACTTCAACTTGCATGTCATCAAGACCCTATTTCGGGTAACAAGCAATTGAAAATGTTCCATGCATCTAAATTCATTACAGCTGGTCTAACATCCACCAATTTGAATCCTCATGGTTCAATGGGGAGTCACCACAAGCCCAGAAACCAAACTAAAACTAAGCTAACATTGTGTCATGCCTTACCTGGTTGGAAAGTGAAGATGGGAGATGTAATAGATGTGACATTTTCCTTTCTCTTGTCACCAGCCACAGCAGCTGTTGAGTAAGTATATGTGAAGTTATACTGAATTGGACTACCACCTAACTCTTCAACAGGTACTTGCACTCTTGAATCATTTGTACTCTTCACTACCACAACTGTACGATTCATTACTGGATTCTTGAAGACAAACACAACTTCATCATACGAATCCATTAATGGTGCTGGTGGTGATGGTGGTTTTAAGATGTCGATAGTGTTATCACCCGTTGATTCATAGCTACGCCACACACCAGTAACTCCAGGGATACTTGGTGTGGTGCCAGTGTAGTTAAAGTCTAAGTTCACAGCACTGCTTGCTACAACCATTGATGATGAGTATGAAGGTGATAACTTATCATTGCCGCTAGTACCATGGTCACTGGTGCTGTTGTTTCTCAGACCATCAATGACAGCAACATAGTAACCAAATGTCACATTCTCTAACAAAACTGGAAACTGCTTAGCCAGTAAACCAGTGCCTTGTAGACCTGTTGGCAGCAATGATTGATTCTTTTCATTCCACATCAGAATGGAATAACGATATGATTGGATGTCATTACGTACATTAGCTGACACATCTTGAATATCAGGCAGAAGAACGGCAAGATTCCCGAAAGTTGCTGTGCAGAGGAAAAAACGGAAATGATGTAATGTAAAGCTATACGCAGGACAGAGACCATTATTGAAAGTTGGGAAGTGAGAAATTCATCCAAAGTTAATCATGTGCGATCCCTGGATTGGAGTTTACGAATAGAAAAATAATAATGATGTGGGAATATATAAGTTTCGTGGTGTTGGTGGTGTTGGTGGTGCTCGTGTTGGTGCTCGTGTTGGTGCACGTGTTGGTGCTGGTGGTGCTAGTGTTGGTGCTGGTGGTGCTGGTGGTGTTGGTGGCGCTCGTGGTGGGGGTGCTTGATGGTGGTGGCGATGCTTGCGGTGCCGGTGGTGGTGCTGGCGATGCTAGTGGCGGGGGTGGTGGTGCTGGCGATGCTAGTGGAGGGGGTGGTGGTGCTGGCGATGGTAGTGGCGGGGGTGGTGGTGCTGGCGATGCTAGTGGCGGGGGTGGTGGTGCTGGCGATGGTAGTGGCGGGGGTGGTGGTGCTGGCGATGGTAGTGGCGGGGGTGGAGGTGCTGGCGATGCTAGTGGCGGGGGTGGAGGTGCTGGCGGCTTGTGCTGGTGCTGGTAGTGTTGTTCGTGGTACACATTAATCATATTATGACGATAAATTCTGACAATGTTGAACTTGGATGGTGTGCCAATATAATCATGATGAAGAAAGGAAAAGGACAAAATGTTATGAGACATTCGGCATTTTTTGTTTTGTGCCATTTTGTGGCACTCGCTGACTGTATAAGATCTGGTTACGTTGGTGGACAGTTTGTCATAACTTGTAACATTTTATCCTTTTCCTTTCTTCATCATAATTCTGACAATGGTCACACTATAGTACTGTCTTTATGATCGGTAGTCCTGTCAAACAGGGGCCGCACGTTATACTTCGGATGCACCTTGAACTACCATAATGTTGCTCCGAGGAGAGAGGTGCGCATAATACTCAGCTGCGCGTTATACTCCGGCAACAACAGTACTACAGTTTGTGACCACATGGCAAGAGCGAGGCAAGGCTGCATGAACAACCAGTGGGTGATCGATGTTCAATGTCCATGCGTTAGGCTGTGCATGGCATTCTTCATGCTCATGTGTCAGAGGCAGGCTCGACCGGCATCGACAAGCAAGCAAGCCACCAACCATGAATGTATCACTTGCTTTGCTTGTTTAACTGGACTTTAGCGAGATTTCCAACGTTTGAGAATTAGTGTATCGTTACTGAAATAGTACACACTTGTTATGGATTGAAAAGAATGCGTATACTTACGGCTACAAATGCTTCCATTGCCAGTAAAACCAGTTTTACATGCACATCGATATGAACCCATAGAATTGTAACATAACGCCGCACTGGCACAGGCGTGGAAGTTCTGCATACATTCATTTATGTCAAGACAGTTATGTTTGAAACCACTGCCTGTGTACCCAGCATTGCATGCGCATGCATAGCCACCCGGAGTATCAGAGCATGTTGCATTCACATCACAATCATGATCTGTCCCGGTGCATTCATCCAAGTTAAAACAAGTATTGCCATTACCAACATAACCGCGTTGACAGTCGCATGTAAAAGATCCCTTGCTGTTGGTGCAGTTGGCGTTACTATCACACTCATGAATGCCAGTACACTCGTTCACATCAGAGCAGTTCTGCCCACTGCCAGTATAACCAGTTTTGCAGACACAAACAAAACTACCAGCATTGTTCACGCACTCAGAGTCATTGTGACAATTGTGCTTGCTAGTTGAACACTCATTCCTATCTGCACAGCTGGACCCATTACCATAGTAACCAGTATTACATGTGCATGCATATGATCCGAGCGAGTCTGTACAATTTGCATTGTCACTGCACATGTGACTACCATCACTGCATTCATTCATGTTTGTACAATTGTGTCCATCGCCACCATAACCATTTAGACATGTACATTGGAAACTACCATCCATATTCATGCATGCAGCTTTGTCACGGCAATTATGAGTTCCAGAACTACATTCGTCAATATCTGCCAACGAGTAGAAGAACAAAATGTTGGTGTCTCTAATCTTACAAACATAGCCGCCTACATTTAGACCAATAACATGCTGTCGATGGAAAGAAACAAAATCAGAGAATACTTTCCATTATGCTGAAATCTTTGCTGGGCAAAGCCTATCCTGGAAACAATGCGGTGCATATTTAGTTCTCTTGCTCCCCAACCCTCCCCGCTCTTTCTCTCTCTATCTCTCCTCTCTCTCTCCTCTCTCTCTCTCTCTCCTCTCTCTCTCTCCTCTCTCTCTCCTCTCTCTCTCTCTCTCTCTCTCTCTCTCTCTCTCTCTCTCTCTCTCTCTCTCTCTCTCTCTCTATCTCTCTATCTCTCTCTCTCTCTCTCTCTCTCTCTCTCTCTTTCTGTCTAAGTTTCTCTCTCTTTCTCTCTCTGCTATTGGCGCGCCTGGTTGTGATGAAGCCGAGACCCAAGGTCGGCAGAGCATCCCAGACCACGCCACCACTCCCCTTATTCATGGCTCACACATGACGGGTTTACGTGGCTCTAGTAAAAAAAAAAAAAATGTACTTATCACCATACATTTCTTTCTCAATCCAACGTGCATGCTTAGAAATCCAACCATAGAACTTGGGCGCCCATACATGTACTTGGTCCGGCTCATCGCAATTGTCGCTTATCTCCCACGCAGCCTGTGTCAGGCAAAGCCCAGTCCAATCGCGATATCTAACTTACTTTTGCTTGTGAGGTTGTGATGGCAAGATCAAAGGGGGCACCAAAGAAAACTGATCGCGACTAGCGATTTGAATCGCGATGTGTTTGACATTATTGGGAAGTGTGAATCTGGCCATTCACTGTCTATGTTGCCAAAAAGCTATGCTCAGCAACCCGAAGACCGGAACTGTAGCAGAGCCAACTGACATACTGGAAGGTGTGACAGGCACGCGTGCACAGTAGAGGAGTGCGAGCGTCATGCTGAAGAATAAAGGTGTTTTCGATGCGATGCGAGGGACGTTTTGGTTGTCCCTTCTTAGACCTGGCAGCGGCATTACACGAGTCGTGGTACGCGTATCCAGCGGAGAGTACGACAGCTGTCTGGAGAGGCCTGTATGCCTCATTCGAAGGCTCTGTTGAAACACACTGTGGTGACACACAGGTCACACTGCCCACGGTTCCTACAAGCACCGAAGTGATAGCCAAAACTGTTCCTTTCCTTTTCCTTTCCTGGCAGCGGCATTACACGAGTCGTGGTACGCGTATCCAGCGGAGAGTACGACAGCTGTCTGGAGAGGCATGTATGCCTCATTCGAAGGCTTTGTTGAAACACACTGTGGTGACACACAGGTCACACTGCCCACGGTTCCTACAAGCACCGAAGTGATAGCCAAAACTGTTCCTTTCCCATTGCTGCCTCACTATGGCTATTGGAAATTTCACATAGCGGTAACAAAACTCCAGTTCTTAGTGGCGATAGATAAGCAACAATTGCAATAAGCCGGACCAAGTACTCTATTGATCGTAACTCAGTTAAGTCTCAACCATTTTCCACATACGTCGACTTCAATGAGAGTTTTGTAGTTGCCTTTGCCTTTCCTGTATACGAAACATGAGGCACTCCGTCCAACATCTGAGAGTAGGGGTGAAACGATTAGTTCGAATATTCGAGTATTCGTTTGAAAAATTCAAACGAGCGAGTATTCGAAATTTTGCACTCAATCGTTTTTTTTCTTTTCTTTTTTTAGTATTGGCATTCTATTTTTCAAACACTTTTGTTGTACCGCTCGTCCACATGCACTGTACATGGTTTGCATGCATTATGCATGCCTTTGAGTCAGTATTTTATGACTTGGCCGTTGCGATCACCACGGCAAGTAACGATCTGAGATATGAAAGTACTTATGAAAACCGTTACTTTACGCTCTGTACAAGATGTTGGCGACTTTTGTTCTATGTTCACAGACAATTTCTTCTGAATTTGTCGAGACCTCACAAATCTAGCGGTTTTGAATTTTGATAAAATACTCGAAATAATCGGATACTCGATCGAATATTATGAATGAGTGATCGATTGGGCAAAATAGATACTCGTTTCACCCCTATCTGAGAGGTTTCATCCAAAAGCAGACTACGATTTTTTGGGGAATGCACCAACACTTTTGGTTGCAAGGTGTAATTCTAAACGTTTGGGTGACAGTTTCCCGTCTGGACGTGTACTAGGCTTAGTGTGAGGCCGACCGGCATGTTTCTGCGTTATGCTGATGGATGGACCCATGTTGTAGCTAGGAGGCTGACCCCCAGTTCTACGCCACCCAACAGTCCTGTATGCCTTTTCCCGGAGGACGTGATGATAGAAGCATGACTCAATCCTACCTGCACAATGTGTGCCGTTTCCAGTATATCCACCTATACATACACAGTGGAATGTTCCATTGGAGTTATTGCACATTGCTAGACTGTGGCAGTTGTGAAGATTTCCGTTTGAATCCTTGCACTCATCCACATCTATGCAACAACCACAACAACAAGAAAACCAAGCATACAGGTCTTTGGCTAAGGCGATGATTTGTAAGAAATGGTTTGCTCCCCACACCGGAGCTCGCGCTATTCCACCGAGTGTCAAGTGTCAAGTAAAGTCGGCGGAATAGCGCGAGCTCCTGTGTGGGGAGCAAACCATTTCATACAAAAGGAGTCTTATCGATATCAAGAGTACATAACTCCCAAGAGTATGCGGCGTTGGACGGAAGGAAAATTTCAAAGTATTGGGGCATACGGCAGCGTGTTCACTGGTCCGAATCAAGGATGTTATTTGGACATGATAAACAGCATTCTTTAAAAATCTATAAAAGGAGTCATCGATATCAAGAGTACATAACTCCCAAGAGTATGCTACTGCCTGCAAAAACGAATCAGTGCAGAAACAGCAGAACTTCCCATCACGTGCCATGGTTGAAAGGGTAATGCTGGCAAACAGTGCAAAGTGACCACAAGAGGGTTTGAAGTTTGAACCCAAAGCCCACGAGCTGGTATCATGCACACGGTGCAAATGATGCGAACGGGTTTGTCAGGTGATGTGAATTTCCGCCATCGCAGACCCCATAGCTGGAGGTGCACACTCTTGGGGGTGATGTACTCTTGACGATATGTATTATAATTATACCTTGGCACAAAGGTGCTGTTCCACTCAAGCTTCCGTCAGCACCGCATGACAATGTTGCATTTCCAACAAGATTAAAACCAACAGAACAGGTAAACGTTTGAGTTTCTCCATAGTTGATATTGGGACTCTTGCTGCTTGTACCACCATAAGCAGGAGCACCCACCGGTTTGCACTGTACCTCTGAGCAGCATATAAAACAGCAACAAAATACACACACAACCATGATATTATGGCCAAACTGAAAATGCCTACTGAAAAGTGAGAAACTTTCACTAGAGGTTAAATTTCGCTATTTCCGGGACCATCACACATTGGCGAATATAAATCGCCGCAAACTGCTCTGTACATTCGTTGTAGACAGCAACACATCCCAATGAAGAGGTAAAATCGCCGAAGTTTCTCACCGTGAACCAGCCCACTTCATGAAATGTAAACTTTGCGCGCCGCAAAGTTTATCGGTTTAAAGAAACTGAAAAGGCCGACCTGAAACATGATAGGGACACTTTTGGCGATGCTAGGGGCGTTCCTGTGGTGCCGTATGCGCTTGAAGCACGTAAAAGATGAGGAGGGGATAAGATCTTTTAAGTAAGCCATAAATTGTGAAAATCCATTGACCAACAAGAAAGAAGAAAGGAAAAGGACAAAATGTTACGAGTTATGACAAACTCGAGTTCAAACCAACAAAAATGTTGAGACAATTTTGATATTGCTGTCTGCACAGTTCTACTGATGCACTGGGTTGCAGTGCTCACCCGCTATAAATGCACTGAGACCCTGGAAAAGATAAAGAGCTAGAAGAGTTGCCCAAATACGTTTGAATTCTTCATCACCCATTTCTTTTCTATAAATTCTTCATTACCCATGTCATTTCCTTTAGATGCTTTGGATCACTGTGAAAAAGTCCACTACAACAGCAAACAAGCTATAGACTCCCTGCTAGTCTTTTTTCGAGTCGCGGTACGCGTATCCAGCGGAGAGTACGACAGCTGTCTGGAGAGGCATGTATGCCTCATTCGAAGGCTCTGTTGAAACACACTGTGGTGACACACAGGTCACACTGTACACGGTCCCTACAAGCACCCAAGTGATAGCCAAAACTGTTCCTTTCCCATTGCTGTCATACGACAGTCTGAGAAAGCAAGAGATACTCTTCGCCACCAGCTACACACCGGCAAATGTCAGCTCAAGTAACGGCAGCTCTCGAGTGATGCAGAGTTGAATGAACTCTGGACCTGTGAAAGCGTGAGTGCAAGAACGCGCTTCCTCGCTGATTTATTCTGTACATTTGCTTGTAACCTTGCTTCCCGTCTTCGACTCGCTTCACCAGATTCCATTGCTGAACTTTGTTTCCTGTGGCGCAGAGTATTCATGTATCATGCTTCCTCACTATGGCTATTGGAAATTTCACATAGCGGTAACAAAACTCCAGTTATTAGTGGCCAGGCGCGTGCTCGGCGATGGGCACGGGGGGCACGTGCTTCCCCCAAAAATTTTCAATCTGGGTAATTGCAATTGTAATGATGCAAATATGCTCTAAAATTCAAGAAAGGTTGCAAACATATTGCAGAAAATTGCCGGGGGGGGGGGCTCCCGTGCACCCCCTAGTCGGGGGGCCGAGCACGCCCCTGGTGGCGATAGATAAGCGACAATTGCGATAAGCCGGACTAAGTAGAGAGAGATGTGGGTGGGAGGGGGGGGGGTGGGGGTGGGGAACAGTAACATAGAGAGACAGAGGAGCAAACAGGCAGGCAGAAAATGTCCGGATGTAAGCAAGATTGAGAGAGAAAGAGGTAGAAAATGAGAAATAGATAATTGGCTAAGGGTCAACACACATAACCAATTCATTGACAATTAGTCAGTAAGCAGCATACCTGTACATTGAATCCCATTTCCACTGTATCCAGTATTACATGTGCATTGGAAGCTACCAGCATTGTTACTACACCCAGCATTGACATTGCAGCCATGACTCATACCACTGGCACATTCGTCAATATCATTGCAAGTTTTGCCATTTCCTGTGTAACCACTAATACACATACATGTATATGAACCATCAGCGTCTTGGCACTGTGCATTGGTATTACAACTGTGAGTCCCATCACTGCATTCATTGATACCCTTGCACGTTGTGCCATTTCCTGTGTAACCACTAATACACATACATGTATATGAACCAGTTGTGTCTGTACATGAAGCCGCTGAGTGGCAGTCGTGGTTTGATGCACTGGCACATTCATTGATATCATTGCAAGTTGTGCCATCTCCGGTGTATCCACTTTTACACCTACATGTGTATGAACCATCAATGTCTTGGCACTGTGCATTGGTATTACAGCTGTGAATCCCATCACTGCATTCGTCAATATCTGCAGAAAACACGATAAACAAGACGAGGAATGGTGACTGTGGTCGGTGTGTGTAGCGTCACGGCGCAGGTATCCTAGTAAAAGTAACTGGCACTACCAGAGCTTGAGAACTTCGCTATGCAATGCTCTGACCACTGATTATAGTCATCATCCAAGCACACATGTTGGACATGAGCAGTCACCGGAAACCAACATTCACTTGGCCACTGCGCACCATTCTAGAGTTGAAACCTGTCTCGTAAAGAAGCCTGTTTTGAATATAAGCCTGATGGTGAAGATGCACTGTTGGCACATACGCCTGGTTTTAGTACTGTTATACATAGAATACCTACCTCGTATAGAATGCCTGTCTGGCATAGAAGACTAGTACTGACTTTGGTCTCTTCGGCAATAAGTCCGCCTCACTTTACACACATTACAGTAAGAACACATTCATGATGATTCGCGGTTTGCGTGAGTCCCGGTCAATCTGTTTGTTCCGAAGCCGTGGGAACACCACCCCCCTCTCACTTTTAAACAACCTGACACATAAATGCTATAATGGAGACTGTCTTCCTACATGGAGGCAAAGAAAGAAGCAATATTCAGAAAACGATGGAGAAAAGGCTTACGCAACAAATCGTGGTTTCTTTGCCCCCTCGTACCATATCTTTTCCTCGTTCTGCAGCCGTCGCTAGACTGGCGTTTCAAAAACGGGATTGCCAAAGTGGTCCACCTCAGCAACTGAGGTTATGAGCGAGTTCTTCCATATTTCATGCTTCCTCCCTATGGCTATTGGAAATTTCACATAGCGGTAACAAAACTCCAGGTCTTAGTGGCGATAGACAAGCAACAATTGCATTAAGCCGGACCAAGTACTCTATTGATCGTAACTCAGTTAACCCTTTACCATCCGACCAAATTTCCCCAGCAGTCCCAAATGTAATAATTCTCACCTTATTCTGAGAATATCTTCGGTTCTAATAACCAATTTTCACAATCTTGGGCATTCTGGAATGCTCTCCACGAGCTGCGTACATTGAGCTCGAACAGGACACTACCGAGATCACATATCCAGCGCCAGGAAGCTTCAAATACACCCCATCGCTGGATATACGAGGAAATTCTCTCCTCGCCAGCCATTTCTCGCTCCTTCATCGTAGACATTCCAAATTTTTTGCTTGAGTTTCTTTTCATGCTGTTCACGCGCTCAAAGCATGCCAAAGTGACTCAGCATGTCAGGAGAGGGAAAAATCCCCGCTCAAGGTCAGTCACTCGGAAAGAAATTCGACTTTTGCCGTAGCTGAAATGTCGAGCATAATATCTTTGGAAGGCGACATCGCAGCTCTTTACCGATTGATGCAATGGAAAGTTGGGCTCTTCGGCTTCTTCCTAGATACTTAGTTCTTTAAATTCCGCCAAAAAGCGATCGAGTTACGAATGTTTCAGTGTATTCAAGCACGCACGGATGGTAAAGGGTTAAGTCTTAACCATTTTCCATATACGTCGACTTCAATGAGAGTTTTGTAGCTGCCTTTGCCTTTCCTGTATACGAAACATGAGGCACTCCGTCCAACATCTGAGAGGTTTCATCCAAAAGCAGACTACGATTTTTTTGGGAAATGCACCAACACTTTTGGTTGCAAGGTGTAATTCTAAACGTTTGGGTGACAGTTTCCCGTCTGGACGTGTACTAGGCTTAGTGTTCCCGTGGGCAAAGCCTATCCTGGAAACAATGTGGTGCATGTACTTATCACCATAAATTTCTTTCTCCATCCAACGTGCATGCTTGGAAAACCAACCATAGAACCTGGGCGCCCATGCATCTACTTGGTCCGGCTCATCGCAATTGTCGCTTATCTCCCACGCACTTTGTTACAGGCAAAGCCCAGTCCAATCGCGATAACTTACTTTTGCTTGTGAGGTTGTGATGGCAAGATCAAAGGCGGCACAAGAGAAAACTGATCGCGACTAGCGATTTGAATCGCGATGTGTTCGACATTTTTGGGAAGTGGAAATCTGGCCATTCACTGTCTACGTTGCCAAAAAGCCAAGCTCAGCGACCCGAAGACCGGAACTGTAGCAGGGCCAACTGACATTCTGGAGTGCGTGACAGGCACGCGTGCACAGCAGAGGAGTGCGAGCGTCATGCTGAAGAATAAAGGTGTTTTCGATGCGATGCGAGGGACGTTTTGGTTGTCCCTTCTTAGACCTGGCAGCGGCATTACACGAGTCGCGGTACGCGTATCCAGCGGAGAGTATGACAGCTGTCTGGAGAGGCATGCATGCCTCATTCGAAGGCTTTGTTGAAACACACTGTGGTGACACACAGGTCACACTGCCCACGGTCCCTACAAGCACCCTAGTGATAGCCAAAACTGTTCCTTTTTTATTTATTTTTTATCACATTGCACATACCTACGGAAGAAGGGGGAGACAAAACGAAGACGAAAAAAAAAGACAACATGGGTGTGTAGGCGCTACATGAGCTGCGCTGGTGAGATGCAGTGGACTCCCTCAACCAAGGGTCTCGGGATCGGCGTACACAGCAAGCACCATGGGAGAGGGGGGCGAGAGGAATGGCGGAGAGAGAGAGAGAGAGAGAGAGAAAGAGAGAGAGAGAGAGAGAGAGAGAGAGAGAGAATGAGCGAGAGAGAGAGAGCGAGAGAGAGCGAGAGAGAGAGAGAGAGAGAGAGAGAGGAGAGAGAGAGAGAGAGAGAGAGAGAGAGAAGAGAGAGAGGAGAGAGAGAGAGAGAGAGAGAGAGAGAGAGAGAGAGAGAAAGAGAGAGAGAAAGAGAGAGAGAAAGAGAGAGAGAGAAAAGAGAGAGAGAGAGAGAGAGAGAAGAGAGAGAGAGAGAGAGAGAGAGGGAGAGAGAGGGA